TATAAATATATACACATACGGTACATATATATGTATAAATGCACTTGCATACTGCTATAAAATGCAAATTACTGAATGATTATATTCACTAATTGTATCATGACTACTGTATATACTATACTAAATAGTATTTTCATTATTATAGATTCTGAGTTTTTTTTGTTCTTTCTGTTGTTTTATTTTTCTACTTCTTAAGAAACGTCGTAAGGCTGTGTAGCTCAGGACTTATTTCATTTCTTGGATAGATCATTTACCCATACAACAATCCAACCATCAGCAAACTTTGGGTAAAAAGTGGAGAACGCTCTGCAGAGGTCACCATTCCATCATAGATCATGTATAATATACACTGAAATATATTTAAGGTGTAAAATACCTGATTTGTTTACTGCTTTTAAATATTTGTACTATTTGGTAGTTGTGTTAATACTTAACCTTATAATTGAAAATGTATATATTTTGATACAAATATCTGAGACTTATGCATCTTTGAAAAAGTACATACCTTTAGAAAAAATAACAAACAAATGCTATAAGGTGAATAAATAGGTTCCAAGTTAGATTTCTATTTTTTATTCTTTCTCTGTACAGAATGCTAAATTCATGAAAACAAGCTCTTTGGTCCTAATGCATAATAGCATGACTCTAATAGCTTTAGGTGCTAAACATGGTGGAAAAAGCATATAATAAATAAGTGTATTTATTTTGTAATAAGGTATTAACTTACCTATCTAGTTAAGTAAAGGTTAAATAAGATATAATGAATAACAAATAATTGCAACTAACAAATCCTTTTTTTTTTTTTACTTGAAACTGGAAGAAGTCATGTCAGTCTGTCATTCCCAGACCTAACGTCTTACAAGAGAGGTACTCTAAATGAAAAACAGATTCAGGATTCAACAGCTGATACAATTTCTTCTGCCGAGATCTGTTCAAGGAATTAACAGAAACTTTTTCCCTTGACTAACTTAACTTCTTGACTTTTCATTTTTCCATTTTTACAGTGTTACATTTACCTCTAAGTATGCTGCACTCATTTAAACTATGTTCAGGCTCCTTTCAGATATTTCTCTGTTTGTTTGTTTGTTTGTTTGTTACAGAAAACTTTATTAGTTTCCCTAGAAAAGATTTACCAGCTGCCTGAATCGCTCCCTGACTTGAGTTTTGCAGTAAAGTGACAGTGGTGCAAGTCAGTGTTAAGCAGTACCATCTGCTAAAATTAAGGTCCTCTGCTGCCCCCTAGGGGCTCCTAGAGAAGAAGTTACCTTAATGCTTCAGAAAAGATTGATTCAGCTTCAACATAAGCTCAGGGACATGTCTCAGAGTAGGATAAGATGTTAGGGATTATTTTTAAATAAAGGCCATTTTAGAAATTAAAACTTAAAAGAAAAAGCTCAGTCTTTTATCTTTATTCACATTTGGGGTTCTGCTGTTTTGGATACTAATGAGTGGCATTCAAATTTGAAGTTTAATTGTTTTTACACATTGTGCATCAGCGAACCTGTAATAATTTACCCGATTATAAACTTCAAAAAAACAAGGCAGTATTTCATTAAATGAAATGAAATGTACTATTAGGACACTTGAAGTGCTGGAAACATGTTTCCCTTTGTGTTACAAAGAACATGCGCTTTGTAGCAAGCGACACGTGCCGTCATTGACTGCTGCAATAATATTTGTGTTCCCCCCTCTCAAACAGTCACACTGTCACAGAAGCACTTGTCTACATTTTGTAGTTGCTTGAGGAAAATAATTGCCTTATCTGCAACTGTCAAAATGATGAATGCCCTGGAGAGCACTAGGAATTGACTGATGGAATTGGAGGGGGTGATCTAATCCCTGAATCTGAACACTTTGTATAATACATTAACCCTTCTGGTACAAAAGACTGAGCAAGAAAAAGCAGATTTGTATGGAAGATAGAAAAAAAATTGAGCAGAGACTGAAGGATCAATTGGCATCTGGAGTTAAAGCCTCACCCGAATCAAGCATGCATCCTGAAAAACTTAGCATCTGAAAGTAGGTTTATCAATGAATGGATGCAAGTAACTGATTATTGTAACATAGAAATATAAGTAGTGCAAGATCAGCAGCCTCTAAAATATATATATGGATTATCAAATTTAAGCAATTATCATAGTGTAATTTTTAGAGTTAATTTAAAACATACAAAAAAAAATACATACATACACATATAAGTTTGTATTTTTACCAGGATTTAAACTTCAAATTAACTGCTTTTCAGTTTAGTTACTGCTTTAATATTTAACCCTATCATTTACCCTATCCATTACCAATTCATCTTAACTCTGACCTTAACCTGAACCTCAACTTAATTCACACAATACCTCTAAACCCACCTCCTAAAGTTTAAGATGAGGGTTCACTTTATTATGACCAGACTTTGGTTTAAGGTGTGAGGGTTTTCTGGAGGTTTATAAAAATACTAGAGAAGGTCCTAGAATAGGTAACATAAAACTGTACACTCACTCGTAGGTGGGTAGTTATTAGTTACATATTCCATATATGTTCACTTGAGTAATTTTTGAAAGAATGTGTAATTTTCTCTACAGAAATGTTTTCACTATTCTTTCACCACTACTTTAGTGAATGAAGAAGATGAGGACAGTAGTAATACCAGATTTCCCATTAGGGGAATCGGGTGTGATAGTGGCAAGAATACAAACAAAATAAAATAAAAATTAAATAAAACCTTTAAAAAGTTTATCTGTAGCAGAGGACAAAAATAAAGACATCTCAGGAAGGAAAACCATGCTAAACAATTATACATTAAAAGAGATGAACTCTTTTTGTGCATCTATGATCCAACAGCCTGTCACTGAATGAGCTCTCCAGTTTTGTAACGGCTTTTTCGATGTGTTGGGAGACATTTCCAACAATTAAATAATTTTTCTTGCAATAATGTCTTCCCCCATGTGCACTGTGTCCAGTCGGCATCCCTGGACAGATCTGTACTTCTTAATGAACTGATCAACCTCTTCTTCTTAGCCGCAGATATGCTGCTGCTCTACATTCCACACTGTGGAAGATTGCTGATGCAACCACATACTATTTAGGACATGGACATATGTATGTTAGAGTTTTTTGATTAGCGGTACTCACTTTTACATTACCTATTACAAGTAGGTAATGTATAAAAGGTTTATGTTTAAAATAATAGATTATGAAATGTATTATCTTGCAACTGTGTTTTTTTTCTATATCCATTATTTTTTATTTTAGTCTCGAAAATACCAGAATTTTCCTGAACTTTATACTATTTTCAGTTCGATAACAAATTTTTTGAATATACAATCAAATGCTATCATCAGTCTTTACTTAAAGGTATAGTGGATTATCAAAATAAGTGGTTCTCCTAATTGTCAATCATTCTGGTGATATGTTTATGTACTTACCCCCATATTCACTTACCGGTGGTGAGTCTGACATAGTGAAAAAATTTCAAATCTTCTTTTTGGAAAGTAAGCTT